GGGGGGGGGGTGGGTGAGGGGGTTGAGGGGGGTCAGAGCCTGATGATGTTGGAGTATATTTAAGATTGGTGATCTGAGACAAAACCTTTTTATACGATCTGCTGGGTATGATCGGTTTAGAGAGAGAACTGCTGCCCTCTACTGGTTATTAATACCTGACAACTCCCTCTGCATAAAGAGGAAAATAAAAATACAGAGTCTGAATCTGAGAACCAATCAGATCAAAGCTCACATTTGATCAGAGACAAAAAGAGGAAGAAGGCGGTGAGGAGGAGGAGGAGGAGGAGGGGTTAGGGTTAGAATGAGATCAATGAAGAGGAGAGAAGGAGTCGTGGAAGGATTGAGAAAACAAAATTAGGAGACAAGGACAAAAGATGTAGGAGAAAAAGAAGGAGGAGATGAATGAAGGAAATAACAAAGGTAAGGAGAAGGAAATGAGGAAAAACTGAAAGGAAAGAAACAAGGAAGATGATGAGGAAAAGAGGAGAGGAGTGGAGGGAAGGAAGGAAGGAAGGAAGGAAGGAAGGAAGGAAGGAAGGAGTCAGTTCAAGAGGACCAGGCTAGAACTGAACCACTAACCTGGACCAGTTGTTCTAGAGAATGTCAGTGATGGGTAGACGGAGGAGGAACCTCCCCCAGTCTCCTTGGTTCCTCCTTCCTTCTCCTCCTCACGCTGCAGTCTCGTCTCCTGACTTTCAGACCTGCTGCTGTGGACAGGAGACCTGCCGAGCTCAGCACTCTCAACGACGGCTACCAGATCCGCATCTGACCCGTGGATCTAACACCGGACTCCCTGACCCGACAGGAGCCGAGACCTGGCTTTGTTGTCCATGTTGTCCAGTTCTTATCTGGCCCAGACGTCGTCCTTTCACCACGACCTCCTGACAAACACCGACGTCCAACCAGAGACAAATGAGTTCTGAAGAACCAGCGTTCCAGTCTCCGCCAAATGACATCACCATCACTTCATCATCACACAGTGACATCATCACAGTGACATCATCACTCTGTGACATCATCACACAGTGACATCATCACACAGTGACGTCATCACTCTGTGACATCATCACTCTGTGACTTGTTCCTGCAGCTGCTTTAGAGAAAAGTACAAACAGAGATTTTTTTGTTTTTTAATTTAAATAGGTGCTAACGTCGATGGACTCAGAGTTTCAGTATTTGTCGGACCGGGGACCTTCAGACTCGGGTCCAGGTCCAGGTCCAGGTCCAGGTCCAGGTCAGTGGTGGACCACCACTCATATAAAGGGTGGTGTTTTTTAAAGGTTAATTAATGAATCACAACATTTCACATTTTTTCAAACCAAATATCAATTTCTTCTTCTTGTTTGACAAAAACATCCAACGCTCAAACAGAAACACAGTAAAATAATATCATAGATAAGAATAAAAACAATTAGATTAAAATAATGTTCACAAAAACCACAAATATCCAGAACTAAGTGTCAACTTCACAGAGGTTTAAATACGTATCATTATATTTCTGTTCTTAAAAGGTCAGCAGTCAGATTATTACTGATATTTAATTTGATTAAGTATTGGTTTCTCCAGCAGGTGGCGCCCTTGGTGACGCATAGGTTGTCCACCCTCTCTGGGTGTTAAAGTTCAAGAACAGTAAATAGTCATTTTTTATTTTATTATCGGCTGAAGGACGATGACAACGACGACGAAGAAGCACAAAGCTTCCTTCAGTGAACTGTTCTCTGATGTTCTAGGTTTTCTTGTTTTGTCTTGAAGGAACCACAGCTGTTCCTGGAAGATGACGGACTTAAAGTTTCCACTTTGTTTGTTTTTTTAACTTGACAACAAAGATGAGGACAAACTTCAGAGGTCAGTGAAGGTCAACGGTAGCAACTGACCAGTGTTTCTACTCCAGCGCCGTACGTCTGTGCCTGATCGCTGACGTTCTGGAATGTTTTTGACAAATTGTTTCTTGTGTTGATTGTAATTTTTTTATATAAGGAAATGAGTGTTTTTTTTGTTTTGTTTTTTTTTTTGCTGTTTCCACAGCAGCAGAAATCCTGCGATTCTACGTCAACTTGGAGTTCTCCGTCGACCTCAAACAAATTTAGCATTTCTACAAAGGGGTCTTTTTTTTTGGCTGCTTTATGTTGTTTAAAAAACAAAGTCACGAGTGTTAAGCAACAACAGAAAGAGAACCATGAGAAACGATTGGTCGACTGTAGCTACAGCATGTAGCCACACGACAGCTAAAACAAAACAGCAAACGGTTGCAAACATTTTATTATTGTGATTAATGTTATTATTGTTCATGATGTTATTGGGATCGGTGTATTTATGAGTGCTGTCGAGTGTTTGATCTTTTTCCTACGAAATGTGAGCAAAAAGGTGTGATTTTCAATTCCTGTGGAAGATGTGGCGCCCCCTGCTGTCACAATGTCAGCTAGTTTTGATCTGCACCACATGGTATTTTAATAAATGATCTACGTTTTCATTTCGGACTCGGTTAGTTATTCATGGCGTCGGTAACATGAAATTCAACCGGACGCTGTTGTAAAAGCTGGTGGAGGCATTTCCCCAGGTGGCCTGGGTGGCGCTGTGGGCAGAGAGTGTGGTTGAAGGACGTCTCATTCATCAGTTCAGCTGCTGGTGGTGAAGACGACACCGTTTTTATTTTTTTGTTCACAATGTGATTTTAACAAAATAAAAGTTTTAAAGAGAAGGAGCTCCAGACCAATTCTGACCAAATATGTTTTTAGGCCTATACCGCCACCTAGTGTACTACTGACTAGTGACATTTTGAGATAATGCAGCTTACTCCGTAATTCATTTTTTTCCTGGATTTGTATGGATTATTAACCGATTCTCGATGCGTCGTTGCGGCCGTGGACGAAGGTGATGCCGAGAGTAAAAGTCAGGTTCGAAGAGTTCTTTGATTCTGGTTCCTGCACTGATGTGACCCACACATCTGTATTAGAACTGTTTGACTCGTCCCTGTGTGAGTCTGCAGTAAATGGTCTCTGGTCAAGAGGAGTCGTAGGAGTCAGAAGGTGAGGGTTCAACTCCCGAGTCCTGGGTTTCAATGATAAATACTGAACTTTCTGCAGCAGAAACTCAGAGGACGACTGTTTCAGTCGTGTGGTTGTGTTTTATTATTAGTAAATAAAACAGAGGAACATTCATTAGATAGATGAATTCTCTCCACATATTTCTGTCACTGAGGTCCAGAGACCTCTGCAGCTGCTTCCTGTCCCGCCCATCATTGACTTGTCATTTCTGAAGTCCATATGTGGTTATTGTTGTGGGGGAACCAAGAACTACTGATAGAGTCTCTGAACTCCCCGTCGGTCTGGGCCGCGAGGGCTGGAAGGTTGAGGAGAATTCTGGTTTTAACAGAATCTGTGTCCTGCCGTCACTTTTCTCCTCATGTTTCCCCGCCAAATAATTAGGAACAGGAAGTGGTCGACACTGACGTAGAACGGCAGCTTGTTAATGTCATTGTTGGTTGGGTTTTTTTATTATTTTTTTATGAGACACTAAAGGTCAGCGCTTCTGTTATCACGGAGCCAAGAATGTGGAGAGCAGCTCCTGCAGGAGCATCACTTAACATTCCCTCACTAGGAGCTGAACTGTGAGGTGGCGTAACCTAGCAACCAGAGAGGAAACAAACAGAGCCGGAGGAGACGGTGACCCCACCGGGCCCTGGAATATTCGAACGACAGAAACCAAAAGCCCAGAGCTCGGGCTCGACGTCAATGATGCGATTATTTTAAAATTGTATTTTAAATAATCTGAACACGGATGTACTGCACCCAAATTAACAAACATGTCTGTATAAAACACGAAATTAATATAGTTTATTGCTTTGTATTTAGTGACGTCACACGGTGGGCGGAGACACGAGAAACGACGTGCGCCTCGTTCACTCCCTTCCTCCTCCTCCTCCTCCTCCTCCTCCTCCTCTCCCGTGTGTCTGTGTCGCCGGGTCTGCAGACAGACACTGATCAGACAGACAGGGACACGGATATTATTCTGGTTCCGGTTCTGCTCCACGGCGGTGGAAAATAATCGACCATCCCCACGGAGCCATGTCGTCCAAATGCCCCAGATGCGACAAGACGGTGTATTTCGGTGAGTCTCAGTGATGCTGCTGCTGCTGAGAGGCCGCATCAGCATCACCGACAGGTTCTGCTGTCTGGGACGGGTGGTGTTTGATTCTGCCTCTGACGTCATCAACAACCTCCACTGTTGTTAAAAACGGTTGTGGTCAGGTTTTGGAGGAGCTTCAACCCAGCAGTCAGTACAGAGTCGTCCAGAGCCTGTCATTCCCACGGTCGCCTGTAGGGTCGCTGAAGTGCTTTAAGTATTTAATGATTTCATTCATTAAGTTTTTTAAAAAGTACTCTATACAAATTCTAGGAAAAGGGTTCTCAAACTATGTACCACCCTGGTACGTGGGCTCCCTCTAGTGCCGGGGAATCAGATTTCAATAAGGATCAAGTGAAAGTCTGGTTCTCGACAGGTTTAATGTGGCCGGGAATTAGAGGATTTGGGGTAATATCCCGGGTCAAATAATCTTTATCAGTGAGTTTCAAACTATGGTAGGTGTACCAGTGGTGGTACTTGAGCTCCCTCCACTGGAAGGTGTTGGGACTAGTCGTCACACGAGTCCAGATTTGTGGGTGTGGTTTCAAACTCATAGTTGTGTGGGTTGTGATCTTGGGCTCCCCCTCCCTCCTCCCTCCTCCCTCCTCCTCACTCCCACCAAAACTCCCTTCCTTTTCTCAACTCATGCATTCCTGTTTTCCAATTGTGTTGTCTTTGTGTGACAGCGACTCTTTGTCAGGGGCCACGGATGGCTGTGGAGGCAGCGGCGGTGCCGTTTCAAAGTGTTTACTGATGTGCGGTCTCCACATGATGTTGGATCTTGTTGTCAGAGGTCACAACCTGTTGCTGTTCTGGTGTGGCCGCAGAGAGAGGCTCACATCTTGATCCGTGCTGAGCGGGTCACGCTGGGCCTTTCAAAGCAATAAGGCAAACAGATCTTTTGGACCTGGGCTCATCCATCAAGCCCACCTTAAAACTGTATCAGCCAAGCATGCAACGCCGCTGTCACTCACAAGGTAAGAAAGCTTCTAGTGGCAGGAAGCAAGGGCACAGAGGGACCAGCCGTGAGGGGCGGTTAAAAGCAGCCGTTCACAGTCAGTGACGTTTGAAATGGTTAGAGTTCTCACCTGATGTGGGAAGGTTTCAGCTCTGGTACGTACAGAACGTAAAAAATGTTTTGTCTGATTAGGTAACTGTAGATAGATGGTGATCAGTCGTGATTAATCGAGGTACATCCACACACCTTTTCTGTTTATTGCTGGAACATTAAACCCATTAATTCGTTCTGATTAAACCTGCTCTTCATTTGGCCGTTTTTTTCTCCAATCAGTGTTGCTAAGTCTGACTTTTTTCCTTCACAGCATGATGGGACACCTTACTGCCACAAACCCTGCTATGCTGCCCTCTTTGGGCCAAAAGGTGAAACAAAACTAAAATCCATAAAAACACTCTGAAGGTTTCATTAGAACATTTGTGAAATAAAAGCTCTCTACCGTGTGAATTCCAGGCGTGAACATAGGTGGCGCTGGTTCCTATGTGTACGATGCTCCAGTCAATGAAGCTCCTGCAGCTGTTTCGATGGAAACCGAAGCTAAGGCGGAGAAGGAGGAGAGGAAAGCTCCTGTACGAGGACCGGTGAAGGGTGAGGAGGAGAAACTGACGGAACATCAACTCTTCAGTATTTCTATTTTACGACACCTCTATATTTTTTTTCCCTCTTTTTCCAGCTGCAAGTTTTTCTTCTTTCTCCGGAGGACCCAACATCTGCCCAAGGTGCAACAAGACGGTGTATTTTGGTGAGCACTTTGTGTCGATTCCCTCCATTTATCCCATTCGTTGTTGCCATAGCGACGGTCACCATGGTGGTTCTGTGTGTGTGTGTGTGTGTGTGCAGCTGAGAAAGTGTCATCTCTGGGTAAGAACTGGCACCGTCCCTGTCTGCGCTGTGAGAGGTGCAGTAAAACTCTGGCTCCAGGAAGTCACGCTGAGGTGAGTCCCTGGAACCATCGACTGCTGCTCACCAGCTACACCAGCAACACCGGCTACACCGGCTACACCGGCTACACCGGCGACACCAGCTACGTTCATACACTTTACCAACATGTGAGGGAGGTTCCCACAGAGCTGCCAACAGAACGTTAGAACAGGAACATCCTAATGTCCTGCTGAGTGACAGCAGGTTTACAGCTCAAAGTCAACTCTGCAGTAGTTACAAACACCCAGTCTTAGCTCCGCCCCCAATTCCCAAGTACAAAGACAGACACCTGTATACACAAACTACAATAATAATATTAATAATAATAATTGATTGACTAACGAGGGGGACACGCTGAGGTGCCGGTGGGGGGGGGTTGTGAGGGTCTTCCAGTACAACATGACACGCTGGACATCAGTGTACCACCGCTGTAACGTTTGACTGATAACAAGCCTCCAGCCACTAGGTGGCAGCAACTCATACAGTGGTTTGTACAGATACAAATGTACATGTTATCAGGTTCTCAATAGTATTTCAATTCCTGGGGGTGTTTGTCGGGTGGGGGGGGGGAGGCACGACAGAAATTAAATTGAGAAGCACTGGTCTAAATGAACACACCTGTCTTTGACACCATGTCTCCATCACAGCACGACGGTCAGCCTTACTGCCACAAACCCTGCTACGCTGTGCTGTTTGGACCCAAAGGTATGAAGTTTGAAGTCTGAAGGTCAAACCTTGACCTTTAACCTCTGGCATTAGCACAAAGAGTCCCAGATGAAGAGAGAGCGTTCACAACAGTGAAGATGCTCTCGTCCTTCTTCTCCTTCTTCTTGCAGGTGTCAACACTGGGGGCGTGGGCAGCTACATCTACGATGACCCTGAAGGGGAAGTGCAGCCTTGAGCTGCTGGCCATGACAACCTCCCTCCACCTCCACCTCCACCTCCACCTCCCCCTCCAAGTCCAACGAGGTCCACATTTGATTGTTATGACTTTTCTTATGAACAGAACTCGACCTTCATTTTCAAATCTGACCCAGAACAATCTGAAATGAGATACGTATATGTCTGATGTTTGACCACAGTCTTTGACAAAGTCCGACTTTGATGGAAATAACCTGGCAGACCCAGAATATGGTGCTGGGGAGGGGCCCAAAACAGCTGTCTTTAGACCCATGACAAAGAAACCACAAATGATGGACGAGTTTTGTACTTGAACTCCCAAACTGATGAACAAATATGAGGTGTCCAGTTTTAATGGTGTAAAAACAGCATGTGGCCACTTCAGAGTGGGCCACCTCAGGGTTGAAGGTTGTTTTCACTTAAACTTTTAACTTCTCATGTCAACAAAGAGGCAAAAAGGTCCAAGTTGGGCTGTGAGAGGTGTAAAAGTAGTGGACGGGTTGGATATTTGGTCCTTATTCTTATTTTTGTACTTTGTTTATGAAACACATTTTACATTTTTTGTACCTATAAAACGCCTTTGGTTTTCTTTCGCCAAATCCTTGTTAGCCTTTCACACAGTCATTCTAAAAACCTGATTGGTAATTTGTGCACTTAAAACGAAGTAGAACATATAGTTCTAATACACTCATCTGTGTACTGTACTTCCAGCCACAGTACCAGGAACGTTCGGTTACAGGAACCATTTGCAAAGAACTTTAAGTTTCCTTTCAGTGTCTGCAGCACTTCTTCAACACAACATCTGGAACTTTTAGTGACAGGAACCATTTTAACTCCTCCAACGTGTCGACCACCGCTGGTCAAATATCTACTTATACTGAGTGTTGAACACCTAACCTGTGATTCACTTCTGTGGATTCAGAGATGTCTATTTGGACTAAAGTCGATAATTCAACATCTGACTCCAGCCTTTTTCTATTTTTATTTCTTTCTTTTTTCTTTTGTTTGTCGCTGATTTGTTTTGTTTCTGTTTTACTGCCTACGGTAAAACGTCACTGCGAGATGCATTAGACCACGCCCATTACCGGAATTAGAGCGCCTCGGGCGTATAAAATGTGTCAAGTTGCACACAGAGGAACCATGTAAGAGGAAAAGGTCTCTACAAAATAATGGCACTGAAACGCGTATCATAGAAATGATTTAAATACCGCAAAACAACTTTCTAATGATAAAGTTGGATTTTTGTTGTTTCTTTTCGGGGGACAAAAAGCATTTTTATTAGTTCATATTCACCTGTCATGCTTGTTTAAGGAACATTTAAAATAATTTACAAGGTGATTTCATCAACGCTTTTACCGTCTTTAATAATAAAGATAGTTCGCCAAACCTGTACTGCCTAATAGCTATATTTGAAGAACGTTTAGCCATATGTTTTACATGTTATTCGACATTTCTATAGTTACATTAGCTCAGTCGTCTTATTTTAAAAAGTAAATAACCGGAAGTTTAGGGTTCACTGAGGCTAACTTTGCATTTCTGGTACTTCGGCTCGTAAAATAGTCTCGCCATCACCGTAGTCGACATTTATCGACATTTTAGCAGTAATAATACGTATAGTACGATACGTTTCCACATCGAAGCGGTTTTAACTACTATGAGTTGATCAGAAATAATCAATTTTATACATTATTTAAAAGACGTAGTCGTTTCTTATTATACACTCCTAGCATTAGCAATTAGCCTCAGTGAGGCTGTTTAGTCGCGGAGGGATCTTGCCGCCTGTTTATGTCTTGTTCATATTATTCAGAGACATGTTACATGGTTCTGTTGCCCACGGCGACGAAGACGCGAACATTAGCAACACGGAAAACAATAAGCTGGTGGTAAAGTTCATAGGGGACAGCGATGGGTTGAACGCGGGCAACAAGGCGAGGCTGAGGAAAGGAGGGAAGAAGCTGCTGCTGCGGACGACGACGGCGCACAAACAGGTAAAAAATAGTCCCGTCATCCGCCTGTCTGACCTGAACAACAACAACTCTCTGACGACATCATCCGTCAACAAACCCGCCTCTCAACAACAACAACAGCATCAATCCAGTACCGAACCTCCGGCGGTCACACACATGGTTCTGAACCTCCACCATGTAAAGAATGGATCCAGAAAAGAGGTGAGCTGCTCCCGCCGTAGAGGTTCTGCAGTGATGGGACTGATGCTCTGTTCACCGACAGACTCATTCAATAAAACAGATGAAGTAAAATGATATTAAATCACGAATGCTTCACTCGAGGTGATCATATCAGTTCACAACTTTAATATCGTCATGTTTTAAAAAGACCTTTCAAAACGTTATCACGTCGATGTTTTTTTTAAATCCAGACAGATAACGGTTCATCTGAGTCGGTGGAGCAAACACCATGAATGAAAATGTACCAATTAGTGTTGTATAAACAGAAACAACTAATGAGTGGTGATGAAGTTTTCCCCAGACAGCCGTGGCCCACCACTAGATGGAGACCTAATACGAATGACTAGTGTTTCTCAACCATAGTTTATTTGAATGATTCTCAGCATAAAGCGGCCACTTAAACTTAAAAATAAAATCAAAACTGTTTACATGTGTCTTCATTTACGCCATGAGGTAGAAAAAGAAAATATCAGCTTCTTTTTCGTAACATGTTACAATGACGTTGGACCAAGCTGAAGCTAAATTAACTCTGACACCCGTTGTACAATATTTAAACCTAAAATGTAATCAAAATCAAATTTGATGGCCTGTGGATATGACTGTGTGAAGGTTGGGTGATTGACATCTCAAAGGTCTGCCTGTTTCTTTCCTGTCTTTTGCAGTGTCATCAGTATGAATGACGTACACTGTTCACATGAACAAACATTATTATTATTTCAAAAACAATCTATTATTAAACTTCAGATCATTTGGTAAATCGTGAAACATTACCTTCCATTTGAATGGGCAAGCAGTCATTGTTTGCGAGAGATTTTTTTTTTCAAGATTTCTCAAGAAAATGCCAAGGACTTTTTTTAACCAGAGCTTGATGGACAGACAGACAGAGATGATAGAAAAGATAGAATTAAAGATGGAATTCCTTTGCAGAAGGTGAATCAAAGGCAGGTGGAATGCTTGGCTGAGAGAAAAATCAAAGGTCGGTTCAGTCATGTGACGCCAACTGCCTTTAAAAACCCCAACAAGGAAGAAAACAACAAGGCAGTTGGGACCATGATAAAGCTATCATCAGCAGTAACCAGAGCTGAAATACTTCTTATTTGAGTACAAATCCGTCCAGTGGCATCATGTTGGTTTGCCCTCCAGTCCAGGCAAGTTCACCGTCACCAGCTGGTTCTCTCAGTGTCTGCTGCTAACTGATCAGTCAGATCAGTGACTACAGCCCAAAAAAAACAAAAGTGCCCTTTTATTAAACACGTTATGCTTTTTTATGTTCCTCCAAATCTCAGAGGAAGTGAACAGAAATATCATCCTTGCTCATTGTGAAACATTTCCAACAAAGCATTATGGGGAAGTACCAATAGCTCAGAGGTTGTTCTGGAGAAGATTCTGGATCATATTTGCCCTGGCTTTCACTGTTAACATGACAGTGAACAGACATTTGGACAAAACAAACATTTGTCAGCCGTCATGTTTATAAGAAGATCAAAATACACAGATATTTTTCTGGTCTTTTTTCTATCTTATATATTATAAGTATTTTGTAATTATTTTCCACTGTATACAGTCATTTATTGTTGCTGTTGAAAAGCGTAGTACTGACTGTGGTCCACTAGGGTGGTGGCTCATTGTTGCAGGCTGCTTGTGGGTTCTGAAGGTCGGCCAGCTGAGAACCACTGATTTAAGTATTGGTGTATTTTCACACTGTGGCTGTACTCTCATCACCTCCTACTGTACTCAAGTACTGACATGACCATGAGGTTTGAAGCACTAGAGTCGATCTGTCAACTCCTTATCTCTATCTTCGTAGGTGCTCAAATCTAAGGGAGGCAGACCAGAGCGTGGGACCACACAACCCAGTCGCCACACGGCACAGAACCTGCCCAGAAGTGACCGTCATACGTCCCAGAATGTGAACAACAAGAGCCACAGGCCACGGCTTGACCAACCAGCTGCTGCTGCTGCTCCTCGTGCTGTGAAGAGGAGCGATCACAGCAGTCCCAAGAAGCCCCTCCCCCCTCACCAGCCTCCATCACTAGATCAGAACAAACCGCTCCACACCTCCGACACTGTGAAGCTGCTGTACGGGTCCCCGCCTCCCAAATCTGCCCCCCCTGAACTCCTCAGGGATGGAGAGAAAGTGTACGCTGGCGCCAAGTTCAGTGAACCGCCATCACCCAGTGTCTTACCCAAACCGCCCAGCCACTGGGTTGGAGAGGAGCAGCCCCAGAACGGCAGGCAGAGTCGAGAGCTGATGGCCGTTCAGCTGAAGTCGCTGCTGAAGGTTCAAGACACGGCGTGACCATAAACACGGCGTCCAGAAGGACTGTCTACCATTGTTTCTGAAACGTCTGGACCACAGGAGTTGAGTGAACAGTCAGAGTTCAGAGGGTTCAGAATTGACATGATCTACTAACATAGGGCTCCACAGGAAGTTGTTTCGTGGACGGACAGACGTGCCGACCGACCGGACCTCCAGACCAACCTTTCTGACATTTAACAAAATCATGCAGTTGTTTGCACAATGAGATTTCACCGTCACCAAATCTTTAATCTCCTCCCAGATTCTAACATCTGCAGTGCAACTGTGAGATTTCATCCCCCTGAACCATTATTTTTACACGACTTACCCCTTTACCCCAACACTCCTGTGAACCTGAGCAGGAGTCACGATGCTGCAGAAGGATCGCAGTGACAGGCTGAGGTCAGTCTGAGGTCACAGGCTGGAACCATGGGGTTTTTTAGAGATGAAAGAGGCAGCTCTGCCGATGTACAGAATATATTGTAAACATATATTGTGTATATTTTTTTCTTTGTGGTTGTTTTAACTGAGATTCTAGTTTTGTTACTGAATTTCTCTCTCTCTTTTTTTTTTAAACTCCAAATGTCCCCTGCTAACTGAGGCACTTTCCAAGAACTTCCTCAGTGGATGTGGGAAAAGACATTTCCCACTCATTTGCACTGATTATAAAGAAGCAGAAAAGTCCACAAAGCAGAGATTGTTGCAGCAGCTGTGATACAACCACCAGCCAGAGAACAGTGGAGAAAAAAGCCTGGATTCACCACATGGTGGCGCTACACCCTGCATCTTTAAGGGGTACGCTACCTGTGGAGTCGGAGAGAGCTCATTTTGTAAAACAGGAAATGATGTAATCAGTAGCTTCTAGCTGAGGACACGCTGATTTACCCATAATTCATTATGTTGCGAAGTCTGCTGTAGCTGTGGCCAGTATTAATGGTCAGTGTGTGAAAAGAACAGAGCGACAGCTGTTCCCAACAGAGAGGCTGGGACACAGGAAGTAGAATCAGGAGACGACAGGAAGTAGAGAATATCAAAGTCAACTTTAATACCATCTATGCCAAACTGAACATACAGGACATACGGCACAATGAAACGCCAGAGAATCAGAAGGAGGGTTCTGTGGTCGTCGTCATCAGACTGCTCAGTTGTTCAGTGTCTGCACTCCTTGTCCTGGTCCTGGTCCTAGTCCTGGTCCTAGTCATTATGGGCTTTTGCAGTTCGCAAACGTTTGAAAGACAAAACAACCGGAGTCTGTTGATGATAAAGTAGCTAAACAAACATGATTAATATTTTGTTTTGAAAAAAACAAAATTGTCTTCATAAGTCACTCGACCAAACATCGCAGTCTTTGTTATGGGCTATTATGGGCTTTTGCAGTTCGCACATTTAAAATGACGGTGAAGTGAAGACGTGCTTGCTTCATGCAGACCACACGCTGTGTTATAGCACATTTATTTTGTTGTTGTAAAAAAGAAAATTTCATATTATGTCTTTAAAATATTAACCATTGGTTTTTCCAGATTCAGTGTTAACGCAAAACTAGGGTTTGTTTCCATATGAAAGAATTCTATATCACATCTGGAGAGAAGAGAAAAAAATTGTTCATAACCGTTTACTTCCTGTCAGTGTTTTTCTTTTCAGCAGCAGCAGCAGGATTTGACCTCGTAATGTTGTAACAACTGCCTGTTTTTTTGTGCCTGTCTATTATTGACGTATATTTTCACATTGCTTCATTTCATTTAAAAAAAAAAACATCTTGAGTAACAATGGAAGAAATATTATCATGAGGCCTTTCACAAGTCCATCCTATTAAGACATTGGTTCCTTTAAAAGTTTAACAATTTGTTTTTATTTAAAAAAAAGACACTCATTAAAAAAAACCAGAAGAAAACGTTCTGATTTCTCTGGTCCAGTGTTTCAAGGTGCTGCAGTCAAACGTTGACTCTGTCCAGCAGAGTCGGGTGTGAAGACGACAAGGACGACAGGGTGAGAGACCTGTTTGAGGAAGTCCAACCTGCCAATGTCACACTTGACTTTTTCTTCTTTCTGCCACAAGGTGATGTCCACTTCAACTGAGTGACCCGAACAAAACAAAGGAGGATGAGGGCTGCGACCCACGGCTTTATCCAAACCCTTCTCCCTGTGACCCTGATGCTTTGACAGGTGGGAGTTCCTTTTTCTGTAATTTCTCTTCGTTCTTTTTAACCCCTTTCTTGTGTCTCTTTTTTTGTAATTTCTCTTCGTTCTTTTTAACCCTTGTCACTTCCTAAAATGTTGGTTTGAAGAATTGTAATCTGACACATCTTGAGAGTGTGAAAAGATGTGTCAGTGGAGACGTCTGCAGTGGATGAGTCACCATGACCGAACACGGTGTTGTCTGTGGTTTTTTTTCTTCTCTTTTCTCAGAAACCGTTTGTCTTTGGTCAGTTTCTCGTCCTTCACCTCAAATCTTCAGCACCACCGCTGGAGTGTCTGTGACCCTCCTTTGCAAATATACTTCACCTGATGCTGATTGTAAGGGCGTGACCTGGATCTTCTGTTCACGTAAAGAACAGGAAATAGAACTGGGAAAATATCTGAAGGGTGACAAATATCAAGTCACAGGGAGCTGTTCTCTGGTGATAAGAAAAGTCACAGAGGACGACGCTGGTCATTACAGCTGCACAGGCCGTAACAGGACCCACACCCACACCCAGATGGATGTTGTCAAAGGTATGTACTGACTGCAGACCAGGTCCAGTAGGTCCTGGATCTACTGCAGACCAGGTCCTTACACATGTCGGCCTCTTGGTAAAATGAAGGCTGAGCAGAGAAGGTCAGATAAAATTCAAAGGAACTGTGTCATTAGTATATTTCAGTGGAAAGTCTCAACCACTACTTTTCCCACAATGCTGCTGTGCCACAGAGTAGAGAGGAAGTTGATGGTGTGGACACTTCAGTCGAGTCGCGAGGTCCGTACTTCACTTCAACATTTAGTTCAACACCACTTCCTGTTAACAGAACTGACCAGATCTGTGACCCGCTGGTTAATTAAAGCCATGTTTACTGGTAGTGTGGATGGAGTGGGGGGGGGGGGGGGGGGGGGGGGGGACCTCTGTTGGCCTTTCCTTAGTTTCTCTAACGAGGTAGGGCGAGACTGATCAAGACGTTTGTCCAAGGCAGGCAGCGGTCTTCAGACCTCAGACCTCCAAACAGTACAGCACCAGTACTAGTTGTTTTGTTTTAGACCACAGGAGTCCAAATGATACACAGGTTCATATGTTCATGTTTGTGTTTTATTTTAAACAAATGAAAAAGAAATACATCAACCAAGAGGTTCATGCCCTCAGCGCTCCCCTTGTGGACACCATGGGAATCACAGAGCTCTTTATCGTCATGATGATGAT